ATACAATTAAAACATTTTCGTTTCTTCCTGTGTATAATGATAAAATATAAAATTATAGATGCGTTAAACTATGTACTGTTTAACTAAAAATACTAAATGCATATGCACAGTCATTCAATATTATACGCATGTACAACGCATACGTATTATGTTAGATAATTATTATGTGCGTCAGTACGTTTGTGTATTACTACTAGATTTAAATTTAATTAGGCGAAATATAGCGTCAGATTTGGCGGGTGTTGTGTTATAAACTTGTTCAAATGGCTAACTTGCGCAGGTCATTTATCGCGCGATTCATTATACAGGGTGTCCTAAAATACATACTCGCACAGGGAAGTCGTGTATTGTGGGACACCCTGTTTATGACAGCAGGACCTGACGTAAATCTGCCGCCAATCTGACATCAGATCTGACTGCAGGCCTGACGACAATCTACCATCATTCTGGAAACAGGCCTGACATCAGACCTGGCGTTACTCTGTTACCATACTGGCGACGGGCTTGACACCAGCATCTGGAGACAGATGGCGAGCAGTCTGCAGTCATTCTACTGCCAGATTGCCGTCAGATGCTGATGTCAGGGATTGGCGCATTCTGCAGCCAGTCTACCGTTAGATCATGCAGTAGGCCTACCGAAATCCTGCCATTTGCAGATTTGGCTGACTGGGTTGCCCGCGGCCCGCCGCCGCCGCCGTGGTGCAGTTGCGCAGTAAGTATGTTGTTTCGGTGTTTGGTGTTTGTCAGTGTTTGTCACCAAACGATTCCACGAGAATCAGAGTGGTGAAGAGTGGAATATTAAAGAATCGTCACCGGATAAATCGACGGGGAGTAATCGTTTTGAGTCTAAATTCAGCTCGGTGGTGCGTACGTATATCAAACTCTCGCGTTGAATTCATTGTCGCGAACAGCAAGGAGCGGCCGAATGGAATGCATTTTTGTTGATGACGCTCGCGTTCGATTTTGGTTATGTCAGGTTGCACACTCCAATTTCCATTTCCCAACCTGGCCTGGTTCGTAAAACGGTTCGAGGAACGACATCGCAGAAAGGGAAATTAAGAAATTATCAAGTGAAACCAGTGAATCGCGCAGAATCAGCATCCATTTGTTCGCCGTTCACGAATTCACTTCGGTACTTCGCGACGTCCCTTGGACGTTCCCGAACCGAAAGTAACAACAGCGTCAAGCAATTGGAATAAAGAATAATCGTTTCTAATATGAAATTAATTAACCTTCCAGACCCCAATTGAATGGCTCTGAGCAATGCTGATCTTCGACTTCCTGAGAAGATTCTTCGGCTGGGCGGACAATCCTTCCCGCAAGCGTAGGGCAGTCTCGTTCACCCAAGAGGAAGACGAAGAAGAAGAAGATGTGATCTCTCGAAAGCGTCACAAACCATGTGATGTTCACCCATGTCAACTGTATGACGTCGAAAATGGCCTGATACAGATTGACGACAGTTCCGAGGATGAGATACAAGTACTAAGCCCGCCGAAACTGAAATATTCGAACAGGCAGTTACATTCGTCGAAAAGCAAAATGGGTTGCAGCGGCAAGAGAAACGAAACGATGTTGAACAAGGCTCATCGTCTGCGGGAGAAGAGCCAGTACGAGGAGCTCCTGCAGAAATTCCTACCTCACAGGATTCACGTTATCCAAAATAAGCCTGTAGATAGAAGAGAAGTCGTGGAGGTTATCGATTTAGAGGATTACGAACCGAGGAGCAGCAGACCTGGGAAAAGTGAGAGCTCCGTAAACCTCTCGAAGATGAAACACAAAAGCAACGTGAAACAATTAGTCATTAATTTGAACGACGAGGATGACGACGATTCTTCGGAGGTGACAATCGAGTCGATCAAATGTGTGAGGCCTCCGAAGGCGTCAAAAGATTCTTCGAACTCGAAACAATCTTTAAACGAAAGCAACATAAAAGTGAACAGTTTGAGGGACCAGCTGTCGGCGAAGGCTGTGATCCAACAAGATTTCATACCGCGGATAGCCAAGCGTTACAACGAAAGAGTAGAACAGAGGTATAAGGAGGCAGAAGAATTGAAGAAGATGACAACGGTTTTGTCGAAGCACAACAGGCTGGCGAGGGAGGCAGCGTTGGAAGAACATTTGGCGAGATCTATGAGATTGTACGAAGCAGTTTTAGATGAGACCGAGGAACCAGAAGAGGTCGAACTCCCGACTCTGACCGAGACTATGTTGAGACAAGTAAAACAAGCATTGATCCCTCAACCGGCCGATCAAATCTTGGTAGAAGGGTTCGGTTTGAGAATCAGTAGAAAAGATATGTACACTTTATCGAACTCCAACTGGCTGAACGACGAGGTGATCAATTTTTACATGAATCTGTTGATCGCCAGAGGCGGGAAGAATAATTATCCTAGGGTCCACGCGATGAACACGTTCTTCTATCCGAAATTGATCAGCGGCGGCCACTCGTCGTTGAAGAGGTGGACGAGGAAGATCGACATTTTCGCGCAGGAGTTGATCGTCGTGCCGATCCATCTCGGGATCCACTGGTGCATGTCGATCATCGATTTTAGGGACAAGACGATCAGATATTACGACAGCATGGGTGGAGACAATCAGAAGTGTCTGGCGTCGTTGAGGAATTATTTAGAGGCTGAGAGTCTGGATAAGAAAGGGAAGCCTTTCGACACAAGAGACTGGAAGCTGGTCAACGTCAAGGATATCCCTCAGCAAATGAACGGGAGCGATTGCGGAGTGTTTTCTTGTATGTTTGCCGAGTTTATCTGTGCCAACAGGAAGATCACGTTCGCTCAGGAGGACATGAGCTATTTTAGGAAGAAAATGGTTTATGAGATTCTGAATTCCAAGATACTTTGACTCATTGGCTAGTTTCCTTTTCCTTTGATTAGGTGGGAGACTTAATGCCGGAGGCGTTGAGATTCGTGGGTGAGATTAAGTAATTACAGGCTCTGTGTGGATAATTAAGAGCAGTTCTCTTAACGAACGTTCGAGACGCGTGTGTTTAGGTTTGATTTTTCACAAGATTCGAAAAGAAATTGTTTTTATGATTTTTGTATAATGAACTGGAGATTTAATAAAAAGTTTCGTTTCATTCTAAGTGTAAAAACTGTTTCTCTAATTCAGGACGGTTTCCGTTTAACTTCTATCTCCCCGTGAATTTTATGGAAATAGAATTTTACAGACACGAATTCTTGACATTTTTTCCATTTTTTTTCACCGAAACTTGGCAGAAAGATTGGACGGTACTATTCAAGTGTCTCCAAAGTTTCATAACGATATTTATATATTGAAATATCAAGTAACGTATGCGTTACTTTATTATGCATAATGATTTCTAACTTCAAATTGAAATAACTTCCGGTGTAATGAAGGGAATTGAATGAAAGTGCCTAGCTGGATAAGGGGGTCAAATGTGCCCTTGAGCCGAATGAAGCGCCGTTTGCGCTAAGACTAACTAAGAATTTGAAAAAATTCTCAGACATTTTCAACTACGCTACGGACGTGTTAGAACTTTTTCACATTTTCCGCACGATGTTAAATAAGGAAAAAGTAAAAAAATTGATTTCTCGATTTAAAATAAAACATAAGAACTGCTAAAATTTGGAGCTAAAAATTGGACTGAATATTTCTTTTTTTGTAAGCTATCGAATGTCGCAAACTGCGGTTCGTTCTGCTCAAGGGCACTTTTGACCAGCGGTGCTGTGAAAATGATCGGCCAAGCCCGGTAACCGATAGTATACAGCAGGTAATCTCCGCTAGGATTATACTCGAGTCTTCGGGTCGAAAATTTCAAATCTTTAAAGGGTCTTCAGATGTCTATTGCAA